ACAAGCATCTTGGGCTATTTGATTATTTAAACAAACCAGTTTTTTTTTGTTGACAAATTACGTATAAGTATAATTATTATTAATTTCAAAATAAGCTATTTTATATAGACTGAATAAACAGACCAAGTTTGTCAATTTGTTTAATGATTTATTTATTGACTAATCAAAAAATTTATTTCCGTTTATCTAGTAAAGTGCTTGAAAATTCCTTTAACTCATAGATTATTAATAGAAGCTATTTTTTTATTCATTTTAATTTAGTCTATGATTATTGCGTTCATTTGTCGTTTGAAAAATATTTATGATAACTACAGAATTTAACTTTGATTTATCTTTTTTAACTGCCTTTATAATAGAATCTAGCCTAATTCCGTTGCATTGATGTAACTATCCTAGTGTTACCAACCTAAAAATTTCGCTGCTAGATTAGGGGTCAGGTTTTGCTATTAGTTTAGGTTAGGAATAATTTTTCTAATATCAAATTTTCGCATGGAAACCTTTTTGTTAATGTGTATAAGGTGGCTTCATAGGTAAAATGACCGGTTTATTTTGATTTTTTTGCGTTTCTTCTGCGTGACACCGGATCTTGGAATCTGATTTGCCAGCGAAATTTTTCGCTAGGACAGTTTATAGATGTCGCATCTGAAGTTTCAATTTATCCGGAGTTGATATCTAAGTTGCACCTGACTAGAATTAAGAAAGATTACACAAGTTAAAAAAAATTGTACAAGCAAAGAACGAACAATAAAGATCACACAGGCTATAGAGAAATACACAAGCATAAAAAAGGTCACATAACGATAAGCTAAAAAATCTATACAAATAGATCATATTTTACTGTCTCGCACTGTAAGAAATCATGAGATTGTCTGCTATGCTTGGTTTTTGCCTTTTTTGGGATGTATTACCGGCAATCCCTATGGGACTACGTAGCAATGCCAGTCTAAAAAATTTGTCTTATTATGTGATCCCATTAAAAAAAATTTTGCTAAGAAAAAAACATTTCGCAATTAGTTTAGGGTTAGGGTCCTACCATTAAGCTAGTATTTGGTTTAAAGGGCTATAATTATAGTAAAATTTCTTGAGAAAAATTTTTTTGTTAGTTCGCAGAATGCATGATTTTTTTACTTCTTTTACTTTACACCTGATCCCGAAATCTGATTGGCTAGCGAAACTTCTTAGATTGGTATTTTAAATACCTCAGGTGGCATCACTAGTTCTATATGATTTTGGTCAAAGTTGCAGATCATTTGACCAATTTTAAATTGTTTTGTTCTAGAGCTGGCCAAATAATCTGCAAATTTGAGTGATGACACAATGATGTAATCAAATGCATAAAATAAATAAATAGGAGGTCAATAAGGACAGAAGGTCAAACTACAATTTTTTAATTTTTTGCGTCTTTGTATTTACCGTGCGCATGTTTATACCAAGACACATTTGCTCCTTTGGATTAACGTTGTATCTATCATGCGTATATATAAAGAAGAGAAAGGTTATTAAGAAACCTTTGCTTGTTAACAAGAGTGAGTGCAAACGTTAAAAGAAGTATGCAAACGTTGAAAGAAGTGTGCGAACGTTAGAAGAAGTGTGTGAACTTATTCAACTAACCCTATGACATATGGAAACTGTCTTTTTGATCCTAGCTTCACCAAGCAAGTATAATTTTTTTTAACAAGGTTTAGAGAGTATTGTTCATAGGTTTGCTGTTTTTTGAAGAAGATTCAGCTATGTATATTATCAGTGTAAGCTGGTCTATGATTATAATAGTTGGATTTGGTGGTCTCTGGGATTTAATGTCTTTCAAATTTATGATTATAATAGTTAAATTTGGTGCTTTCAAGATATTAAATCAAACAATTAATCTAAACTCTTGTTTGTATTTATTATTTTCTTGCTTAAAAACTAATTTAATAGTTTTATTATTAACATTAATAATATAGAAATAGAATTTTGCCCGATTGAAGAAAGCATAAAAGTGTGGAATTTTTGAAAAGATTTCAAGCTATTGTTTTTTTACAAGATTTACAAAGAAAAAACTTTTTTTATAATAAATTTACGATTTGCTTATTTAGAACTCTACTCTTGACTATTGTGACTGGTATTTCGAAGAACTTTTGCAACACATTTTTTTACAAAGAATAAATGCAAAAAGTTCACAACAAATAACTGTTCAAGATTTCACCTACTTTAAAGATATCGCCAGTCAATGGTTAACTATTAAACTTAGCGGCAGAAGTGTGTATAAATTCGCCAGAACAAAGACAGAATCAAAGAAAATAAGACTCAACAGATATCACGTATATCATCGAATCTTTTGAAAGATTCCTAATTAGTCAGCATGAGCAACAGCAAACGAGCACCATAACGATAAACACAGTTAAGAAATGATGCAACAAGACTGCCAACATGAAGGCTTTCAGAAAAATCAAACTGTAGAATCGAGGAAAGATTTTTACTCAAAACTGATAGAAGTTTCTAGCTTGATGTAAAAATTAATGACACTGTAATTTTACGCACACGATCATCGTTCTTTAATGAGATTCTATGTACCACCAAAGTATTATACGAAATTTCCATACCGGATATTTTACCAAAAGCATTTGAAACATTATTAAAGTAAGCATAATTTAAAAAAATTTTTATCAAATTTGAAATAAAATATGAAAAAAATTCCAAATAATTTTTTTTTAAGTTTATGTAAAATATATATTCAATTATATAACCGCATAGTTAATACAAACAAAATTTTGTTTGCATAGTTGATCTATCACAAGACGAGGAAAAACTTTATTTTTACTTGAAACCTCATAGCCCTAAGAAAAGTTGTAGAGCATCTTTTTCCGATCAAAAAAAGCACTGTTTTCCTGAAAGTTTTATATTTTCGTCTATAGTAAGAAAACAAGTAGAAGTTTTTTTTATAATATATTTACGGTTTGCTTATTTAAAATCATCTAATAGTTCTTTTCATAATATAAAATAGAATTTGAACAAATTATTTTACTACAGTGGACTATTGTGATTGGTCCCTAGAAGGACTCTGAGCCGATTTTACCAGACCATGTGTATGATACTTTAGGTGGTCTCAAAAGGTTTGATTCTATGAAAGGACGCCAAGACGCTGAAAAATTTCCTAGCTTTTTATTTCATGGGTTACATGAAGAATTTTTGGTAGGTATGTTATTTTGGTTACAAACTTCCTGTCGCTGATAAAATATATTAATACGTTGCCTTCAAACCAGGTGGAGAATTACAGGGAACCCGTAATAAGCAATCAATCAATGGTAATAATGATTTGATTGAAAAATCTGGCTCTAACAAAACAATGAATATGAAAATGCAGGGATGGAAGTTGAACAAAAGAACAAAAAAGTTATACTAGAACTGTCAGTATGTTTTTGTGCATTTATCTCGTTTAGTATAAATCTGTTAACATATTTCATTTTTCATAGATTGAAATTGAAGAATCACCAATCAGTCGCATTTTCGGAGATCAACTTCGTTCAGTGCTTCAATGCCCGGGAGGTATTGATTCTATAACACTTGATCCATTTCTATCATTGCAACTTGATATTCAGGTATGATCAAGATAATAAAGTCGTAATCCTTATTTAATGAATTTATTAGCTAAACTAAAATTTCTTTCAGCATGATGACGTAAAAACTGTTGGAGATGCACTCCAAAATCTTACCAACCCTTAATATGTTGATGACTTTTATTCAGCAAAGGAAGACTTGGTATGTAGAAATGTTCGTATTTCTTATTTTATCAACCATATCCTAACCTATGTTTTGTAATAGGTTCGTGCTACCAAGCGATTATACATAGAAACACTTCCGCCTATTCTCACTCTTCATTTAAAGAGGTTTGCGTATGGCAATGTTGGTGGAACGCAAAAATTGAGCAAACATATTAGATATTCGATAACGTTATCAATTAAACAAGGGGTGTAAACGTTTAATAATTATCTATAATATATAACGCACTCTCTAAATAACTCTGATCACTCGATCAGACATAGAATATTTCAATACATATTTTTTCAAAATACTGATGCTAAAAATTTTCAACAAATAACTTTTCAAGATGTCATTTATTTTAAAATTTTTATTAGTCAGTGTATAAGTGATAACTTAATAATAGAAGCGTTTACAATCAACCTGAAGACATTTAGAAAAATCAAACTGTAGAATGAAGCAAAGAGTTTTACTCAAAACTAATAGAAGATTTTTTCAGATTGCTTATGCAGAACCCATTTTGTAATGTAAAAATTAATGTAGCAACACATATTTGAAGCACATTCTGTAATCTTATATACATAATTATTTTTTTTCAATGAGATTTTATGTAGTGCTAAAGTATTATATAAAATTTTTATATCAGATATTTTATTCAAAGCATTTGAAACATTATTATTATTATTATTATTTATGTTAAAGTTTCTGCCTTTGGAAAGCGATTTTTATTCAAGTATAGGACACGGGTGCTTTCAAGGGTTTACTATATCTTTAGATAATGTTGTGCAGTTGAAAATTGCACATGTGTAAATATAATATAAAACTGTTTTGAAGCATAATTTAGAACACTCTTATAAGTAATCAATAAAAATAATTTTGAATTTAGAAAGTAAAAGAATTTTGCATATATTAAACAATTTGAGAGTAGTTTAATATTTAATATAATAAAATGTTTTTTTTTAGTTGATATTATAGAATTGTTATTTGTAAATAGTAAAAAATTTTTTAAACCAGGCTTTGAATTCATATAGATAATTTTTTAAGAATAAGATTTGAAATGTTTGAAAAATTATTATTATTATTTTTTTTTTAATGTTAAAGTTCCTATCTTCAGAATGTGATATTTTTATTCAAGTATATAGGACACGGCATGCCACCAGGGGCTATCTTACATTGGAGTTTATAACTAGTCATACATGCATTTTTTGTGCCTAATTTAAGTAGTCCACTTTTATATTACTATATAAGTTCTATACTATCTGCAAGCCAACTAGAGGTTTTGCTTATTTAAACACTCTGCATATGCATTCTCCTTGTATCATGAGAACATCTTCAAGGTTATACCTATCCAAGTTCCTAATGCTGGTTGGTCCCTTAGAACTACTTTATCCTTAACAAGAAACTTACTAGAACCTTTATGTCTTACACATACTGATCTAGTTTTATGCATCATGTTATATTTATCTAATACTTGTAATTATAAAGGTTACTTATTTAACTGTTACATTATACTATTTTTACTCTTATAAAGTTTACTAAAACTCTAGTACTTATCTTTCTGACATCTTCTTCATTATCTCCTACTAGCTGCAACTCAAAATCATTAGTCTTATTCCAGACTACCAATTCAGATTGTCTAGTATAATATATTTCTGTATTCTTTTTCTCTAGTGAGTCTAGTAACCTAATTGGTTATGTATTTCTTTATATATATTTATTATTCAGTTTTAATCTTCAGTTCCTATAAAGGTATTTCATGATCTTCAACTAGTTTGATAGTATCATTAAAAGTTCATACTATCACTTTATTCGAGAATTTCCAAATAGGTTTCTGTCATCTTAGTTCTTTAGTCTTTTACACTCAATAGTCTTATTATAGGTTTGTACTGAAGTTTTATTTTTTTTTTTAAATATTAACAGTAAGACTATGAAAGTGAAAAGTACTGAAGTTTTATGCAATATCAGTTATACATTTCTTTATATATGTGTAATATTATATTTCACATAGATGCTCTGAGCTTCTAATATCAGTAGGACCTGACTTGGTATATTTGGATTATAATCATATGAGGCCAACTGATCGACAGAAGACAGTTATCGTAACACAAATATAATTTCTAAATTTTATTATAAATGAGATTTAAATCTTAGACCTGTTATTTAGAGGATAACAATCTAACCACTGCATTAGAATCACCATCCTCTGAAAAAATTATTTTTTAGAAATGTTAAGAGAAATATTAATATTAAATTTGTTATTATTTTGAATTTTGAAATATAACTAGTTAATATTATTCTTATTAATATAATAGTTAAATTAATTTAAATAGAATAAATATAGATTTGTTGATTAAAAAGTTTATTTTATAGATGAGATTAGTTAAAATTTTGAATTTTTTGTTTACTAGAGCTTTAACTAAGTATTTGTAATTAAGTTTTAATTTAGAAGTTTTATTTTTTTTTATTTTTATTTTTTTTTAAAGTTCTATTTTTGAAATGTAACATTTGTATTTAAGTATATAGAACATAGCATGACATCAGAGGCTACCTTATATTGAAAGTTACAACTAATCACATATGCACTTTTGGTGCCTAATTTAAGTAATCTACTTATACATTACTATATAAGTTTTATACTAGATGCTATACCTGCAAGCCAACTAAAAGTCTTGCTTATTTAAACCCTTTGCATATATAATTCTTTTTGTATTACAAGAACATCTTCAAGACTACACCTATCTAAGTTCTTAATGCTAATTAGTACTCTTAAAACTAATTTATTTTTAACAGTAAACTTATTAGAGCCTTTATATTTTACACATACTGACCTAGTTTTATACAATATGTTATAGTTATTTAACACTTGCAGTCATAGAGGTTACCTGTTTAACTGCTATATTACACTATTTCTATCTTTGTAAAGTTTATTAGAACTTTAGTACTTATCTTTTTAGCATCTTATTCATTATTCCTTACTAGCTGCAACTCAAAACTATTAGTCTTATTCTAAACTACCAATCCAGATGACCCAGTAGGATATACTTTTCTTTTGACAAGTCCAATGACCTAGTTGGTTATATGCTCTTCTACACATACTTGTCATTCAGTTTTAACCTTTGGTTACTATAAAGGTATTTCATGGGCTTCAATTAGTCTGATAATACTGTTAAAAGTTCATATTATCTCTTTACTTAAAAATTTCTAAGTGGGTTTTTGTCATCTTAGTTCCTTAGTTTTTTACATCTGATGGTTTTATAAAGGTTTGTACTGAAGTCTTATACAACATCAGTTATATATTTCTCTATATATGTATAATATTATACTTTACATAAATGCTTTAAGCTCTTAATATTAGTAGAACGTGACTTGATGTATTTGAGTTATAGTCATATAAGATCAATCAATTAACAGAAGACAGTTACCATAATTTTTAAATTTCATCATAAATAGGATTTGAATTTTAAATCTGCTGCTTGAAGAATAACAACCCAACTATTGCACTAGAATCACTATCCTTTTATTTAGAAGTTTTATCAGATAATAGTTAAATAATTTTTTCTAAATAGATATTATAAGATATGATTTTTTTTTTTTTTTAATATTAAAGTTTCTGCCTTTGGAGATCGATTTTTTTATTCAAGTATTTAAACATAGATGCCTTTAGAGGCTTCTATATATAGAAGGTTACAACTAGCCACATGTGTACTTTTGGTACCTAATTTAAGTAGTCTGCCTATACATCACTATACAGATTCTATACTAGATGCCATACCTGCAAGCCAATTATGGGTCTTGCCTATTTAAATCCTCTGCATATATAATTTGACTTGTGATCACAAAGACATCTTCTGAACTATACTCATCCAAAGTACCTAATGCTTTTGAGACCCTTAGAACTAGTTTATCCTCAACAGGAAACTTATTAGACCCTTTCATGTCTTACATACAGCTGATTTAGTTTTATGCAACATGCTATAATTACCTAACACTTGCAGTCACAGGAGTTACCTGTTTAACTGCTATGTTATACTATGTCTACTCTTGTAAAGTTCACTAAAACTTCAGTACCTATCATCATGATGTCTTCTTCATCATCTCTTACTAATTGCTACTTAGGACTAACAGAACTCTCTCAACTTCCAATCCAGATAGCTCGATATGATATACTTATGTATCTTTTTTCTCTGGTAATTTCAGTGGCCTGGTTGGTCATATGCTTTTTTATATATCTTGACATCCAGTTTATTTGCTTATCCCTTTGGGAGTATTTCATAGCCTTCTATTAGTTTGATAGTACTGTCAAAAGTTCATGCTATCTTTTTACTCAGGAATTTTCAAGTAGGCTTCTGACTCTTTGATTCCTTAGTTTACTGTATCTAGTAGTCTTATCATGAATTTGTACTGAAGTCTTATGTGATACCAGTTAATAACATTTCTTTATGTATATGTAATATTACACTTGACATAGATGCTCCGAGCTCTCATTCGAGATGATGTGACTTAAGGTTATGGATACACAAATTTAACTGCTTATCAAAAGACAGTTTGCTATAACATAGGTTAATTTTCAAATTTTGTTATAGATGAGATTTGAACCTTAGTTCTGCCACTTGAAGAATAACAACCCAACCACTACACTAGGATCACCATCTTCAATAAGATATTATTTAATAAAGATAAATAGTTGTTAAGCAATAGAATTATTAAGTTTGATATGTTTTTTATAAAATCAGTTATTGGATATTTTTTAAACTAGTTAAAATTATTGCTAGTGACTTGTTAAGTTTTTTTTTTTGTTTGAAATACTGTTGTGAGTAAATTTTTTTGTTTTTTTTTAAAAAAAAAGATTTAAAAAGTTGAATTTTTTATTAGATTTCATTTGTTAAATTTTAATAAAAACAAAAATTAGTTGGTATTTAAGAGTAAAAAATAAAATTGTTTGTTTTTTAAAAAAAAAAAAAAAAATCCAAGTGTTTAAGCTAATTGATTAAGGCTATAATGATTTACTGTTAAAATATAAGAAAAAAAATTGTATCAAAAGTTTAAATTTAATATTTAATAAACTAGAAACTCAAAGTTTATAAATCAGTTTTTGTTTAAAAATTGTATAAATTGTATAGTTAGAAGCAGTGTTGTCACATTTACTATGTTTAAGATTTTTTTTAACTATGTTCAATATTTAAATATTCATATATTCAAGAATGTTCACAATATAT